AAATTTGCATATTTAAACACAAACGCAATATTGTAAAAAAAAAAAAATCGCAATTAGATTATTTTCCAAAATCGTTCAGCCCTAATTTGATCATAAAAAAAATTAATAAGCCAATATTTTAGTTTTCGATTTAAATGTGTAAATATTTGCATTTTTTTATACATTTCAAAGTAATTGTAAAGTCATATAAACTACAAAATAAGTCAAATGTGTAAAATGTGTTCAGAATTTTGGACCGGTGGTATAGAAGTAACTCTGACCTCACTGAACTTTATGAAATACAGAATAATAATCATCATCATCATCTGTATTATTATATGATTTTATAGACAGCCCTGTTCTCTTTCTTTTTTACCCGTGTCACATAGACGCCCATATTTTTTCAGGTGGATCTGCTCAGACACCCGTCCCGGCCTGCGCCGTGTCCTAAAGATGGTAGCATAGCTTTTTTTTGTTTGATCTTCACAAATAACTCATTTTTTTCTGCTTTCCACTTCAATCTGCTCATCATCTTCTCTACACAATAAAAGATTTACTGACACAAAGGCAAAGCAGAGAGAATCTTTTCATCACACATCTGACTTTAAAATCTCAGTCTTTGTACGAGGACATTAAGCCGGAGTCTGAGCGGAATGACTAATGGGGTCTCGTCTCACACCGTCTGCTTAGAAAAGAGCATTTTCTGTGTTTTTTCAGACTTTCTTCAGGTACAATACCCGTCTGAGCCGACTACACGTCTGTCCTCGCCCGCCGCTGAGGGAACTAATCTCATAGATGTTTGTTTTGTTGTCATTTCAGTTCTCCGATAGATTTGATTTTAATCAAGAAAGGCTGCCGGATACACGCTCGTATTAAAAGGAAATTGTGACTTCTAAAACGAGACGCTGTTTTATACGTAAACACATTCAGGAGGTCCAGGGGGGATACCGAATAGCTGTTTATCTTGCACGTATTTTGATTGTGTCCATTAGGGGTTATATGCTTTTATTCCTGACATTTTTTCCATCTATTTTATTCCTTATTTTAGTTTTTTGTTCCTCTGAATTTTGTCATTTATATTCATACTTTAAAGCATTCTCTGACCCTGAAAGGTTGAAAAGATCCTGTTCTTTGATGGTTCAAAGAAGAGCAAGGTCACATCTGGAATTTTTTTTTTCTCTAAAACCGTCTCTCTTTCTTCTCTCATCAGGCTTCCTCTGCCTCCTGGGGCGGCTCTCAGTCTCTGGCAGAATCAGACGCTGTTTAAGGAGCTGTACTTCACCAAGTTTCCTGTAAGAGTTTAGCTACAAGATATACAGTGGAGATCAAAATTAGAGAACAACCTAGGGGGGGGGTAACTGTATACATCCAGGATCAGAACATGTGTCCTAATTTAATTCCATCCAGAATAACCTCAAATGACCTTTATGATGTATATAGATATTAAACAAAGTACATGCATATTCGCAAACATGTACATATGCACACACAAGCATATATTATATTACATATATCTAGGGCTGCCCCCTAATAGTCGACTAACCTTTAGTCGACGAGAAGAGGTTTGGTCGACCAACATTGTATTAGTCGCTTAGTCGCAGAAAAAAAATTGGAAGTGGTGAGATCACGCAGTCCGTGACAGACAGATCGCTAACGGCTGGATTTTGTGGTAATACAGTACATCCTAATGCTCGCCTATCATTCATCTACCTCAAATATGGCTTATCATCTGAAATATGTAAGTAGTAGCAACTTTACATGGCCGCTTAATCTAATGTTAACCTAGAAAAATGTGCACTGTTCAAGAGTCTGTGCGGAGTGTGAAAGCTGAACAGTAGCACGCTCACAGCATGACAGATGGAGGTGCCGGTGCAGTCCCTTGCTCTTAAAATACTCCCATTTTGGTCATACAGATAAGAGTAATACATCTTTCAAACCTGTAAAGCCTCTACGTTTATTTGTGTGCACTCACTATAACAACAAAACATTGCGCTTTTGTAAAATAATGTATCAAATAGGATGCGCTTTCTGCCGTCTCGGCCTCTGTGAACTTGAGCGCAAAACTCCATGTATACTTGCCTTACAGACATGAAAAATATATCTATAGAGAGTGAAATGTCTACTTTCAAATGAAACAATTCAAATCTGAAAATATATATATATATATTCTCAGATTATGTATCAAATATTATGCATCCACTAGCCTACTGTAGAGGTGATGAGTCAGTGTCACCAACTTCATCTCTTAAACAGAAAACACTAGTTTATCAATAGATTATTAAAATGGTAATGCAGTTTAATCTTACTGTTTTTCTCATTCATAACCATTACTTCTGCCGGTGTGCCATGGCAAGCTTTATGCATGCACTTGAGCACTTATTAGGCAATTAAAGGCTCATTATCATGATTTAAATGGTTTATTAATAAACGTGTGATTAGTCGACTAATGCTTAAAATGAACGACTACTAGTCGACCAGAAAAATCTTTAGTCGAGGACAGCCCTACATAATTCTATCTATATATTGATCATCTTTTATTTATTTATAACAACAAAATAAGTCCTTCTTTCTGATACATATTCAACCCATTTCCTCCACTTTCCCAGAAACGCATGCTTCTCTAAATTAACCAAAAAAAGTGATCTTTTCCATATAAATGTATTTTCCGTATAAATCTCTATGGTAACTTCTATCGAATTATCTAAAGTTGGTCTCTCCTGTTTTAACCAATTACGTGTGATTGCTTTCTTGCTGGCTGCCAAAAGCCATTATTATCTGCTGTTGCTATATCTGGATATACGCAGCCAAAATACAACAATTTGAGGTATGTCTCTTCTAAAAATATATTCAAGAGCCTCCTGTATTTTTTTCCAGTGTTCTTGAATATGTAGGCATTCCCAAAATATATGATAATGCTTTGCTTCATTACATACACAGTTTCGCCAACATTTTCGGAGAGATAACTCCGTAAGGAGTGGCCACTCAGACAAAAAAGGGACCATCTAATTTAAAGACAGCAGCCACAATTTGTTTAGTTTTCATATTAGGGGCAGGGACCACCATAAAAAAGTACTGGTGTACTGGTGTTTTAAAGGGGTCATATGATGCGATTTCAAGTTTTCCTTTCTCTTTGGAGTGTTACAAGCTGTTTGTGAATAGATAAGATCCCTGAAGTTGCAAAGGCAGATGTCTCAAAACCAAAGAGATATTCTTTATCAAAGTTAAGACTCTGCCACGCCCCCCTAAAACGGCTCGTTCTAACACGCCCCCACATATCTACCTCACTATGTGGAAATATTTGCATAATGCTGCCCAAATGTGCACGCAAAGAAAGAAGGTGTGGTTTCAGTAACTGCAGTTAGTGTTGAAGCAGCATGTCAGCGAGACGCTGTGTGTTTCTAGGCGAAAGCAAAAGCACTTTATTTGGCCTTCCGAAAGTAGACGCATTTAGGAATCTTTAAGATTACTTACAACAGAACAGCAATGCATTTTATGGACGACCGTTTCGTGAACCTAGGAGAGGAAGTAATTCTGACTTTGCTATGACAATCTGGCGCTTCTGAATCAGCTACTGTTTTGTTATTAGTTGAAGTTCACTTGATAGTTCACTTGTGCCTTAATCAAAAGCTGAGAATGTGCTTGTAATAATATAATCCCAGACAAATGAAAGTCGCACAGCAGTCTTGATGTGTGATTCTGACAGGCGCCTTCCAGTTATGCGTTAGATGGTCATTGGGCGTGCCGAGGCTGAGGCTGTTATGTGCAGTTTGATTACTATATCTATTCCTTTTGATAATAATCAGGCAGGACAGTCATAATCCCTTCACAGGAAGGTGCTCAGCATGTGCTTTTGATTATTACATCTCAGCTGCTGCTTGCTGCGTTCAGACCACATGCTGATTGTAATGACAACAGAAAAGTTGAAAGGATGTGTTTATCACTGAATATATTTTTTGAATGTTGTAGTGCTATTCTGTGCAGTTAGTTACAGCGAACAGGAACTGAAGATCTGAGGTTTAAAAAAGGATGGCAAACCATCATAAAAGTCCATATTAGCATGTACACTACTGTAGATAGTAATTATTAGTGAAGTCATACTGTATGCTAGCTTTCGGTGAAAAATTAACTGACAATCTTTGAGAGTTAATGTTTTTAAGGCATTGTATTAAGCATTTTATTTCCATTTTTTTTTTTTTTTGAATACCTTTATTTTTGCAGCAAGTGTTGGTATATATAACAAATCATATATCAGTATGATTTCTGAAGGATCATGTGACACTGAAGACTGGATTAATGGCTGCTGAAAATTCAGCTTTGCAACACAGGAATAAATTACATTTTATAATATATTCAAATAGAAAGTAGTGTATTAATATTTCACAATGTTACTGTTTTACTATAACAGTTTTGTGGTGAAATGTAGCCTTTTGAGCATAAGATCCTTAACCCAAAAATAGACTTATTTTAGGACTGCATAGCAAGTTATAATTTCAAAAAAACATGTGGTGCAGCACCATCTAGTGGTTCAAAGAAACATATCGGCTGCTTTTATACTGGCACTTGATCAGTGCAATTTTGTTGATCTTGTTGTACTCCTGAAGTGTTTTTATTGCACTCCCTCCTAGGGTTACTATGACACCATGGACGCAGGTTTTGTGGATGAGGAGGGCTTCTTGTACATCATGTCTCGGTCTGATGTCCACCGGTGCCCTCGAAGAGGTGTGAGGAGAGGGAGCATCTCAATCATGACACAAATAATAATAATCTCAAGCATCTTTGTTATTGCTTTACCAAAGAAATCGTGTGTGTGTGTGTGTTTGTCCTTCAGTCTGTCCTGCTGCACTCTGCCGTGGTGGACTGTGATGTGGTGGGGCTGGAAGACCCCCTGAAGGGACACGTTCCACTGGCTTTGTGTGTGCTCCGAAATGGTAAGGAATGGAGAAAGGGATATTAGTAGTACAAATATATACCTTAGGGGATGTATATTTGTTTATGTGCTTGTTTGTTTGCAGACTGTCAGAAGAGTGCGGATGTGCTGGCGAATATATATATTTATTAGTGCCGTCAAACGATTAATTGCATCCAAAATAAACGTTTTTATTTTCATAATATACGTGTACACACACATACAGTATATATTTTGAAAATATTTACATGTATATATTTATATTCCAATGACAGAGGTCAAATGTTTTCTGTAAGTCTTCACAAGGTTTTCACATACTGTTGCTGGTATTTTGGCCCATTCCTCCATGCAGATCTCCTCTAGAGCAGTAATGTTTTGGGGCTGTCGCTGGGCAACACGGATTTTCAACTCCCTCCAAAGATTTTCTATGGGGTTGAGATCTGGAGACTGGCTAGGCCACTCCAGGACCTTGAAATGCTTCTTATGAAGCCACTCCTTCGTTGCCCGGGCGGTGTGTTTTGGATCATTGTCATGCTGAAAGACCCAGCCACGTTTCATCTTCAGTGCCCTTGCTGATGGAAGGAGGTTTTCACTCAAAATCTCACGATACATGGCCCCATTCATTCTTTCGTTTACACGGATCAGTCGTTCTGGTCCCTTTGCAGAAAAACAGCCCCAAAGCATGATGTTTCCACCCCCATGCTTCACAGTAGGTATGGTGTTCTTTGGATGCAACTCAGCATTCTTTCTCCTCCAAACATGACAAGTTGAGTTTTTACCAAAAAGTTCTATTTTGGTTTCATCTGACCATATGACATTCTCCCAATCCTCTTCTGGATCATCCAAATGCTCTCTAGCAAACTTCAGACGGGCCTGGACATGTACTGGCTTAAGCAGGGGGACATGTCTGGCACTGCAGGATTTGAGTCCCTGGCGGTGCAGTGTGTTACTGATGGTAGCCTTTGTTACTTTGGTCCCAGCTCTCTGCAGGTCATTCACTAGGTCCCCCCGTGTGGTTGTGGGATTTTTGCTCACAGTTCTTGTGATCATTTTGACCCCACGGGGTGAGATCTTGCGTGGAGCCCCAGATTGAGGGAGATTATCAGTGGTCTTGTATGTCTTCCATTTTCTAATAATTGCTCCCACAGTTGATTTCTTCACACCAAGCTGCTTACCTATTGCAGATTCAGTCTTCCCAGCCTGGTGCAGGTCTACAATTTTGTTTCTGGTGTCTTTTGACAGCTCTTTGGTCTTGGCCATGGTGGAGTTTGGAGTGTGACTGTTTGAGGTTGTGGATAGGTGTCTTTTATACTGATAACGAGTTCAAACAGATACCATTAATACAGGTAACGTGTGGAGGACAGAGGAGCCTCTTAAAGAAGTTGTTACAGGTCTGTGAGAGCCAGAAATCTTGCTTGTTTGTAGGTGACCAAATACTTATTTTACCGAGGAATTTACCAATAAATTCTTTAAAAATCCTACAATGTGATTTTCTGGATTTTTTTTTCTCATTTTGTCTCTCATAGTTGAGGTATACCTATGATGAAAATTACAGGCCTCTCTCATCTTTTTAAGTGGGAGAACTTGCACAATTGGTGGCTGACTAAATACTTTTTTGCCCCACTGTATATATATATACACACGCACTACCATTCAAAAATTTGGGATCAGTAAGATTTTTTATGTTTTTAGTGGAGTCTCTTATGCTCATCAAGGCTGTATTTATTTGATCAAAAATACAAAAAAAAAAAACTGTAATATTGGAAGACTGGAGAAATGATGCTGAAAATTCAGCTTTGATCACAGGAATAAATTATATTTTAAAGTATGTTAAAATAGAAACTGTTATTTTAAATTGCAATAATGTTTCACAAAATAACAGGGTGTTTTCTGTATTTTTGGTCAAATAAATACAGCCTTGATGAGCACAAGAAACTTCGGTAAGATTATATATATATATATATATTAATTTGACTATGTATGTATGTTAAATTATGTTTTAAAATGTAATGTATTTTCAGCATCATTATTCCAGTCGTCAGTGTCACATGATCCTTCTGAATCATTCTAATATGCTAATTTGGTTAATAATGGTTCTTATTATCACTAATGTTGAAAAGGTTTTTTTCTGCTTAATATTTTTGTGGAAACTGACACATAATTGTAATATTAATTGCTTATATAAACAAAAATATTAAGCAGTCCAACTGTTTTCAACATTGATAATAAAAAAAAGTTTCTTGTGTAAATCCAATGCAAATCAGCATTGAACAATATCCGAAGGATCATGTGACACTGAATATTTTTAAATCAAATAAATGCAGCATTGTTGAGCATCTTTAAAAAAAATCTGAATTACGTAATTGTTTACTAAAAAAATACTGAATTGCTGGAATTCTAAGTGAAGTGTTGTAATAAAATGTGGGAATGGGAATGTAGATTTAGACTAGCTTTAGGTTTGATTTCTAAACACCATACATGTGAATGAATTAAAGGAATGCAGTGTCCGGATTTATTTTGTCTGAAGTGCACAAAGAAGAATGCACCTTAGGGGATGTATATTTGTTTATGTGCTTGTTTGTTTGCAGACTGTCAGAGGAGTGCGGATGTGCTGGTGAACGAGATGGTGAAATCGGTGAGGGACACCATCGGGCCGGTGGGGGCTTTTAAGAAGGTCGTCTTTGTCAAAGCTCTTCCCAAAACCCGCTCGGGAAAAATTCCACGATCGTCTCTCGCTAACCTGGTGAACCACAAGCCTTATGAGGTATTTTCTGACTTGTTTTTTGCCCTAGTGACAACTGCTAATAAATATTTGTGTTATATGGAATTTGCTGTAAGGACAGCTGCAAATCTTCAGCTTCAGTTTAAAAATCATAGTAAAGCAGAAGTTTGTAATTTGGATGTTTCTGATTTTCAATTCATAGATCAGTCCCACCATAGAAGATCCTGAGGTCTTTAAAGACATTGAGAAGGTGCTTAGAGAAACTGTGAAAGAACCTGGTAAATAATTTACAAACAGATGTGCATATGTGTAAGCACACTGTTCTCTCCAAGATGTGAGATTCTGTGAAGATATGCCATAGAGAAACATGGTTCCCATTAGAATGAACCCCTGATTATAACACAATATTTTTTATTAGTAATGTCATTTATGTGCATGAACATGATCATTTCCACATATGTCTTGGACCAGATATGAGCAGTAGTCAACATGTTTAGATAATCAAAAACTTGGATAATTTTGAATAGGTGAATGCTAAAAAAAATATGTCAGGTTCATATTGATTTCACCCCCAAGATCAAAAATGAGTGATATATATTTTGTGTAAAGAAAATAAAATGAAGGCCCTTTTTATATTATATTGTAGCATAATTAGTTTTGAACCCCCAACTGTCAAAGCACCAACAATTGTGTCAGTGTTTAAATGTTTGAATTTGAAAGACTTTATTGACATATTCACATTTTATAGTTTGACAGCTAAAGGAAAAAAATTGGCTCCATTATCTTAAGTAAAATGTTATTTTCCCTCGTTCTGATTGGTTATATATAACCTGGACACGCTGTTGACAGTTTTTGTGAGATTCACCTTGCAGCACAGTAAATTATGACTCATGTCATGTATTGTAGCACTGGTGTAGCGTCAGTGTGAGGAGATGCATTGTAAAAACATTTGTGACAATGATTGTTCTAAAGCAAACCTATTTGACTGTACTTTTTTATTGACAATGAAAAGTTGTTTGATCACCACATAGTTTTGACCAAAATACAATCAGTAATAAATAAAAAATGGACACAAAATAAAATGATTCTCTGCGCGTGCAAAACAGGGACGTACAAACCGTCAAAGTGTCTGATATAACCGAAAGACAGGAGGTGGAGGGCTGTACAACAGACGTCCCCCGCGTCTCGAACGGAAACATTTTTACACCAAAGTAAGTCACAGCAAGTAAGTCTACGTTCACTACAAGCTAAGCCTGTCCTTTAGCGATTTGTTCTAACGCTCTCGAGACGAGGCCAGCCTATTGGCAACGGGCGCGGTTTTTGCACGTTTTGATTTGCGTTTTGTACTCCGAGATGAGCGGTCCGCGCCGTGCTCCGGCGGTACAATTTTGTGCTACTCACGACGGGAAACAATTGCCGTTTTACGTTCTTTTTAACCAAACAATAAGAAATGCGAGCGTACGCGTGAGAGAATATCCAATTACTCATGTTCTTCGATACGCCTTACCGTGAAGGATCGATTGGCAAACATTGTTGAAAACCCCCTAAAGTTTTGAAGCATGTGTTTGAACAGATTGATGGATAAAGAAATAAACGAATGTTGAAAAAATAGGTATTAAGGCTCCTGAACGTATCAGTGCTTTAAGAATTGTTTTTCTGTAGTGTTTTTCAGGAGTGGTAGTTTCTCACAATTCAACGCAAGATGACATTCTGATCTTGCATGTAGTAGCTACTTGCTTTTCACGATCCAGTTTATGAATTAACGATGAACCGGTCATATTCAGTTCATGATAAATATTTTTCACATAGTAGGCTAATGTGAAAGGGCTGCGAATGCCATTTCACCAAATCCTACATGTTTGACCTATTTGTTGAGTAGGTGCGTTTCTTTCAGACCTGCACCTAGAGCTCCATCGGGGTACGAGCGAGTAACTGGCGTGACGTAGACTCTGACGGGCACGTGTAGCTTTTGCTTGATGGGCTTCCAATTGGCGGAACGCAACAGGCCTCAAAACGCAGGACTGAATGAATAAAAAGTAACAGCATGTCCAAAGTGTCTCTGGGGCATAGGCCAAAAATTAGAACAGCAGCATCGTTTAAAACCATGACGTTAAAGGACACAATGTGCACAAACTCTGAACGTGTGATCTTTTTATACAGATGTGTGCATGTATATATATTTATTTATATGTATGTATTTATATATATAAAACAGCTTTATTTATAGTGATTTACAGTTGAACCTACACATCCCCTGTAGAAGAAATACACAGTACTTAAGCCGAAGGAGCCGCGTGGCGTGAAAGACAGAAAGAGCGAGAGCACGTCGGCACCTGTGGCGGACACCCGGCGCAGAGCAGCCTTGACCCCCGCCTCCTCGCCCTGTCCTCCGCGGGCTTCTGTTGTTCTCTTGGCAGTGTGACTCGTCGGAATTGTTTGTTCAGGCCAACTTTAAGGTACGACTCTGAAAGAAGTGAAACAGAAGAGAAGATCAGATGATGTTGCGGTTTGTGTGCGTATATATGAAACAGGTAAGGCTTGTAATTTGAAGTGAAAACTTGTAGGTTTAGTAGAAGGTAAGATGTGTCAGCTGTTTGATTAGCTGAGACCGTACACTTTTTGCTTGTTAGAATGTTGCATTGTATTTAGCCTGTCTTGCTTTGCTATCACAAGGCAAGGCATACCAAAATGTGCTTTTGTAAGTGACGGGTGTAAAAGTGTCCCGTCATTGCTTAGAGCACAACTGTTTATGTTGCGTGATAGCACTTGCAGTGGCCATCTATGGAGATGGATTGTCAGGCTAGCTCTGTGAATGAGCCGTTGTAACATACATACATGTACAATTGTGTGGATTTGTGCTGTAGTTGGGGTGGGAATGAAGGGTTCGTCGGGACTGTGTTTACATGGACCCTAATAATTTGATCGTAATAGGAGCACAATCAGAATTAAAAAAGTCACATGTAACCACGTCAATCGGATTTAATTGGCCAGATCCGATTCAATTTTAAATCGGATTGTAAGGGGTGGTTTATTCCTTTTGTAATCGAGTGAGAGGACATGTAAATACTTGATCGGATTTAAATCTGAAACTGGAAAGTACTGCGCATGTGTAGTGACGTATGACACGCAGAACGAGCTGTTCTTCCTCATGAATAAAGTGTCATAAATGAGTGTCTAGTCATTCAAAAATTCTGCTTTCACTCAGCGTCTGTGAAGAGGAGCAGCACAACGTCCCACCAGTCCTTGTTTAAGACACAGAAAGGGTAACTTTTACTGCTTTCTAAAGTAAGCAGCACAGCACAACAGTTCATGTGCTAGTTGTTGCCTAATTAGGAACCGAAGTAAATACAAATTGAGTGTGCTTTTTAAAACATTATGCGACAACAGCGGGAAACTCCGTGTATTGTGCGCATGTCAAAAGATTAAATCCAATCAGAAGGTTGTGACAAATGAGCATATCATCCCGATCACTTTATGAAGCGTTCATGTAAACACTACGTTTGGATTTGTCAATCAGAATGAATTCATTCTGATGGAATTAAAAAGCGTCCAAAAAACGTAGCTATTGTTTCAGTGCATCTGTTTAGAAGAAGAGCAGTGGCGGTTCGTGTGTGAAATATGGTGATACACAACAATATTGTTTTTTTCCCAATTGCAGTTGTGTAACTGCTTTTTCCCAAAAGTTGTATTGTGGTTAGGCAAAATTGGACTGTAATGATTGTTCCCATTCTGAATTATTAGATAGCTTGGTTTGATGGGTTTTTTCATCCTTGATTCAAAAGAGCAGCGCCAGGGTTTGTTTTCATATAGTTCATGTATTGTTGGAGCAAACCTAATTCTCTTAATATGGAAGTGCCTGTGTAAGCTGGGGTTTAAAAGTATTGTAATTGGTATGTTTGTAACGTACGTATAAAGCTGTCTAGATGACTTGTAGCAGCGCGAGCACTGTTGTATGTGGATGAAGTTGTAGCTACATGTAATGGCTGTTCACCTGCAGATGTGGCTGGTCTGATCATTTTAGTGTGAATAGTGCAAATGCTGTTGAATTAATGTATTTGATTGAGCGAGGGACTTTAGTTCACTTAAGTGTTGTTTATTGAAAGAATTGCTTTGTTTTCAAGATGATACAGCAGAGGAGAGGTGCAGCGAACATACTAAGGCTGAAAACGAGTTTAGTTTAGCACAGGTGTGAAACTCACAGCTTATAGTATTGATGTTCTCTCAGCAAGAGTAGGTCCTCACAGTGGAGCTGTCCAGACGCTGTACCGCCGATGGTCCAACTGCATGGAAATAAAGATATGCAGTGAGTGAATCTTTTGGGAGTCATTTGTCTGTATATTCATCCATGTGTTAAAGTGGCTGTGGAGTTTTGTTAATGCAGTGTGTTGAGTGATGTGTTTTTCAGATGTTCAAAATGGAACTATGTACTGTATGTATATTCCTCTAATTCAAGTGGACGCAATAGTGTGATTTGTTAGGGTGTTGTAGGTCTTTTTTTGAGTGTTATTAGAAAGAAATTGAAGACACACCCCTTGGAAGTGATCAGTCACTCTATTATGGCCTAGCTCCCTGGTTGCCTCTGTGTGTGAGGGATATGACATGCTTGCAAGTAGTTTGGGGGGGGGGGCAGGATAGAACAAGCTGTAGAAAAGGCTGTTTATGCCATGTAGGATGAATTGAGACAAATACTTTGATTTGTGTAATGAGGTATTTATTGTATTGGAGTTTTTTTTTTTAAATGATCAATATTCAATCCCTATGACTGAAAATAATTATATTACACTGCATGTTTCCAGCATGCCTCCCAACTCCCAATTATGTGGGAGGGATTCACCTTCTCCACAATCGTATATAATATCTTTCTTAATGTGTTTTGTATCATGGGGTCACCAGAACAGAACAATGAGACTGTTAGTAAGTGGTTAATATCCAGACACAGAATAGATCCAGCAACACTGGGGAAAGTTGTTAAAGGGAAACATGAATAAAACTCTGCTCATCCGTGTACATGAGATGCTCACGATGATGAACGTACTGTTTCACTGAACAGAGTGGCATTAGTGAAGCAGACGGTCACATGAGGCCGTATTGGTTGTCGTAGAGAGGAGGCAGTTGCGTAGGGTTTTAATTGGTAATGAGGAGAAGCTGTGCAGAGTGTCATGTGAGTTTGCTCGTAGCTGGTGAGGCGTCAGCTGCGGATGGCAGAGAAGGAGCTATGTAAGCACAGTTTGCCTGGAATGGCAGCCATCATGGGCCAGCTGTCGTGTTCATCCCTGGTCATACAAAGACCGGCTCGAATCTAACTGCGCGACTCCGACCAGCAGACGCGGAGCGTTACGCTCTTGTTCCCTCAGCGTTCTCTTTCCTTTCACAGCTACTAACACCTCAACTAAGTAGCCACACATTTGTCTCTGTGTATTCGGAAAGGGTAACTTTTGTGCCATGGACTCCTCTTGTTCTCCTGCAAGCTCCTTCATGCAAACACCTTTCAAGGTACTCACACACAACTTTGCTACTACTACTGCTAAATGGTGGCTGGCTTACACAACCCAGCCAACCACTAACTAGCTTACACCTGCAATACTGCTCACTAACTTCTGTTCCTGATCCTGGAAGCTTGCACTGAAGCTGACCCCTGGAGTTCCTCAGGGATCTGAGCAGAGTCCCCTCCATGCCAGGGATTTCAATCAAGTCTCAAAAATGCTGCCTCCAAGTCAAATCTATTACATGCTTCAAGTGTCTCTGATTTCTGATGTCCAGGCCAGCTAGACAATGCCCAGCCACTACATTGCACAATTTCAGCACACATTTCTAAGCAGCTTTCTCACATCACCATCTCAACAACTGCCCATTCATCCACGCTTCAGCACCACCAAAACGCTATCTGTCACTTGACAGACCAATCACCGGTCTCTCACCTCCCTAAGATAGAAACAACCATATCTAATATATATAGCACTGCCACTCCTCCCTAAATCATTCTCACTAAACCTGCTCCATGCTACTGCAAGAACACAAATATGGTGACGTACCATACTCCCATTATCAGAGAATCAAGATTACGTTACTTACATAACCTCAACTACTTCAAACATCCATCACATGGGACATAGCCAACTCCCAGACCGCACATACACTATCGCAGGCATGTCAGCCAACTCATGTACAGTATGTTACACCAGAAAAACCAAACCGTTCCCACAAAAACAAA